CCAGAGGCCCCCGTGTCACCCCCTCTCCAGGTGTCCCCACCCCAGAGGCCCCCATGTCACCCTCACCCAGGTGTCTCCAGGTCACCCCCACCCAGCTGTGTCTCCATCCCCTTTGTCCTCTGCCCCAAGTGTGTCCAGGCCCTTCTCTGCACAGGGCGGAGGTCTGCCTAGGGCTTGGGTCCCCAGCATGAGTGCCATACAGGACCTGCCTCCCGGAGGCGTCTCAGAAATGGACGGCCCCCTGCCCAGTGGACAGATACATTCATCTGCCTGCTCTGCAACCACCCAAGTGCTCTCTGCTCGTGGCAGGCTGTGCCTTACTGGTCCAGGGACGTGTGCTTAATGGGGCGGCCGGCTCTTGGAAAGGGGCGGGGATGGGGTTGGGCCAATATTTTTAATGACCTACTTCTAACTCTAAAGCACAGAGTGGCTGCCACTGCGTTGTGTCTGAATTTTTATGGTAAGACTCAGCCTCTGGACGGCATGGTGACCAACCCTAAGGCCTGTGGCAGTGGAGCAGGGCCCAGGTGCTGGGTGTCCTGAGGTCTGGGATTGGGTGGGGCACACAGGTGCCTGCTGGTGTCAGTGGGCGGCGCTGAGGGCACAGGCTCCCAACATCTCCAGCTTCACAGATAGCCGGGGCTTCCCAAGGAAAAGCCCTTTCTGATAAGGCCAGTGGAGACTGGGGAGCAGCATGGGTGGGCTCAACGCCTCCCTCGCCTGTCCCGTGCAGGGCTCCCGCTGAGCCCATCGGCCCCGTCCTCATGGCTGTCAGCATTTGCAGGGTCTTTGTCCTTGCCCAATCTTGACTCCAGTCCTGGGTTGCACAGCACCTGCAGCCACACATCCGGGGTCTGCCGGGCCCAGGAACATGTCTGCTGGGTTTTCATGGAGAGCACTTCTCTACCACACAAGGCAAGCTGGTGGGAATCTAGCAAAACCATTAAGTAGATGAGCGTGCTGATCCAACCCAGCGCACATCCATGGCAGCTGTGGCTGGAGCTGCTCCTGGTGGAGCCTCAGGGTTCACCTGCCCAGGCCCACCCAGGCTTTCCAGGGCCAGTGGGTGAAGTGAGCAGGGTCCCCATGGGGGCTGCCATCTGGAGCCACTGATTCTGCCTCCCTTGGGTCTTCCACAGTGGCATGGGTGAGTGCAGTTCCTTAGAACATGGCACTGCTTCCTGTCCATCATCCTGGCAAGGAGTGGGGGCCGTTTTAGGGGCTCTGTCCTTCCTGCCTTAATGACTTGCTTCCCAGGTCAGGAAATGCTGATATTCTTGGAAGCCAAGGAGAGACTGGTGGACATGGCCAAGGGCCCTGGGCATCAGAGCTGCACTCATCCACCAGCGCTCTCCTGCTCTCCCTCTTCTGAGTTGAGCAAGGCTCCGTCAGCTGCCATCTGCTGCATCTGGGAGTCCCACTATCCATTGGCCCCACGCAGCCCCATGGTGGGGACACCGTGCTTGACCCCCCATCTCCATGCCTGTCACCCCGCCCACCCATCTCTGCCAGTCCAGAGCCCCTCAGCCCAGATCCTGTTCCCTGGCATCCAGCCCTGGCCCGTGTGTTGTACTGGACCGAGTGTAGAAAGTTATCACCAAGACAAAAGTATGCCAGATTGCAGGGTCATTTATTATGCTGGCGACCACAGAGGACTCACGTCTCTCCAACCTGTGGTGCCAAAAGGAGGGTGCCATGATTTTTTATACCCGAAAAACCACCTTGGGAGTGGGGGTGAGGGGCGGGGATGGGGATGAAAAGGTTTCGGACATTCCAAGGGCTAGGGGATTCTGTGATTCACCTCCTGGGCGGAGACAAGGGCGGGGGTCTCCGGACATTCCAAGGGCCAGGGGACTTTTGTCATTCTGTTTGTTACTTCAGTGGTTTACAGAAGTCAAGATATACATTTGTTTACACATCGTCTGGGTGGTGACAGAAGTCACAGATTTTAGCAGTTACTGATAAGGAAAGGTAAGCAGCTCTGCGTAGTTTTGCAGAACAAACTAGCAGTTCTATTTACAGAGGACAAGGACAGCAGTTATTGTGAGGAGAATGGGGCAGCCATTTCACCTTATCTAAAAACAGTTTTGCATTTTATAAAATAGTGTTGCTCAGGTTCTGGCTCTAGGCCAGCACAATATCACACGTGAGGAGCAGCTGCCTTGGAGCTGCGGCGTGGGGCCCCAGCACCCCCACCTCCCAGGAGGCCCCAGCACCTCTCCCTGCCTGTCAGCCACCAACCAGCTTCGAGAAGCTCTCCCAGCAGGGATTGCTCAGTCCTGGTGTCCTTGCTGAACACTGAGCAAAGCCATCTGCATGCCCCGACATGCTACTTTATGCCCAGGGCCTGTCTACCTTACACCTCCCTCCTGGGGCAGGACTTGACTCCTCCACCTGGACAAGCAGGTCATGAGAGGCGGGGCACTGCCTGAGGTCTCCCCAATTCCCAGGTGAGGGAGGTCTGCTTTCTCCATGGGGTGGGGGTTGCCGTGCTGGCACAAAGCGCTCCCGTGAATCTGGAGCTCACCCAGGGAACATCCAGGCGGTGGCGGCAGCAGCTCTCAGGGCGCACTTGTCCTGTGAGCCCAGCGCCACAGCGCGGCTACCCGACAGCGAGCCCCTCAGCCTGTCAGGGCGCAGCGGATGAGAGCCCTGCGAAGCTGCTGCAGAAGCCCTCCCGCTCCCACCACGCCTGGAGCTGATGGTTGGCTTACTGAAGCCCTGTTTTCTCAAGATTTCCCATGGAGCTGGCAAAAGCCACACGCTGGGCAACCCCTGGTCTTCACTGTTCCCACTCCTTTAGAACGCCCAGCATGGTGCAGCCCAGTGCGTCCCCTACTTGGCTGCCCACTGGAGGAGGACAGGCAGGGTGCAGGCTCAGGAGCTGTGGGAACCACCACGTCCCACCACGTGCCCAGAGGAGCTGGTCTGGGGACTGGTGAGGCTATGCAGAGAGATGGCACAGTGACAAGCACTCCGAGGCCCGAGAGTCCCGTTTGCAGTTCTCGGTCCTTCTCTGACATCTGACCGGTGTTCTCCATTCTTGCCCTCGTTTCATGAGACAGCCTTAACTTTCTAGGCTAGTGTGAATCCATCTCTGTCGCTTGCAACCAGAATCTTAAATTAACAGAGAAATACAGCAACTATTTTGTCAAACCCAGCATAAAGAGAAGAGCCCTTTCGGCCTCAACATATAAAACCCAGCGCAGTTACGCACACAAGTCAAGACAGGTGGAGCAAGCCCAGAGCTGTCTACACAGCAGGCTGCACCTGCCCCAGCCAGCCAGTGTCTAGGGCCGCTGCCTCCCCAAACACAGTGGCTCCTCCCAACACCGCGTGGGCCGTCCTCCTGCTGGCACGAGGCACCTCCAGGAGGAAGCAGCTGGAGCTGCTGGCTGCACACACTGCAGTTTGGCCTCTGCAATGTCAGTTTTGCTTTTATGTAGCTAAACCTAGTAAGTGAGAGTAACTTGAAAGCGGTTTCTCTCTTGTCCTTAAAGAGATGATCTTAGTACACTATGAAGCAATCACTTTTTAAACAATCCAACAGAGAACTCGTCAGTTACACATTTTAATTAGACATAACTTCTCTTTTAACAAACACACAGGTTATCTGGTGATGTTTTTTCATCAAAACACCCATCATTGCTGCAAGGTTTGCCTATTTTGTCTTTATGAAATCAACATGTATCTGCCAGTTCACACATACATACATATCTGCACACGTATGAAATATATGGGAATTATGGATCCTTATCGATGAATGTTAACAAAGAAGGAAGAAGTGCATCTACCAGCGAGCTGACCAGACTCACGAAGAGAAGTGCTGCTTCTTGTTTATTTTCAGAATGTCCAGGTCAACCGTGATGCCTTCTAACTTTATTCCAAAGTCAAGAAGTCTGAAGCAGCAAAATTAGAAAGTGCAATCTCAATGCCTCCCCACAAAAGTCCTTCCTTTTTAAGCCACTGCAACCTCACATATAATATTCACTCCAAACAAGGATTACAGTGCCCTCCTCTTCCCTAGGAACCTGGATCTGCATCTACCTAGGATCTCCTAGACCTCCATTCCTTACCCTGAAGGGTCCTCCCTGCTTTGCGGGTCAAGGTGTTAATAGTTCCTGTGACCTTCAAGAAAACAGCAGGAAAAATAATGCTTTACTCTGATGTCACTACAAATTCTGCACATACACCAACAAGCAAATTATCCTTTTTCGCAACTTTAAACCATTTTGGGTGAAGAGCATTCCACTGGAGCGCCACACGCACCCTCTCCTGCTGATTCTGCTTTGTGCTCAGCTTATCCAGGTATCTTTCGGTCCATCTGTGCAGTTATCAAATGGGACAACACTGTGTAAATATTCCACACCTAACACAATCCATTTCAAGATGGTGGCATCACATCAACACCCAAACTTGCTGACAGAAGGCAGCCGTGCCACACAAACACCAACGAATATCAACCCTATAGAAAGATCGTCTTCCGCGTGGGCACGGCGGCTCACGCCTGTAATCCCAGCACTTTGGGAGGCCGAGGCAGGCGGATCACCTGAGGTCAGGAGTTGGAGACCAGCCTGGCCAACATGGTGAAACTAAACGTGGTCTCAACTAAAAATACGAAAATTAGCCGGGCATGGTGGTAGGAGCCTGTAGTCCCAGCTACTCGAGAGGCTGAGGCAGGAGAATCACTTGAACCCTCAAGGTGGATATTGCAGTGAGCTGAGATTGTGCCACTGCACTCCAGCCTGGGGACAGAGCGAGACTCTGTCATTAAAACAAACAAACAAACAAAAAAAACAAAAAAAACTTGTCTTCCTAACTCTGCAGGACTGGGTCAGTGTCCACACTGGCTTGAAGGCTCTGAACACATTTACCTCACTGTAGAAGGAAGCTAGGCTATGAGCACACTGGACATTAGAAACAGCGTAACGATGATCAATTCACCTCGAATATCATTCACCTACAAAGTAATTACTGTATTTTCTTAATTTAAAGACAAACACAGAATGTTCATGCAGGGACACGCAGCAGACCAGACTGCCGCAGGAGTGGAGCCTGCACTGCTCTTTAGGAAGGGTCTGACGCACCAGGAAGTACAAACAAGGAGAGGAAGAGTTTCGTCCAGATTTACCTAAAAAATGACTTCTAAGCACCGGATGCGGTGGCTCACGCCTGTGATCCCAGCACTTTGGGAGGCCAAGGGGGGAGGATCACCTGAGGTCAGGAGTTTGAGACCATCCTGGCCAACATAGTGAAACCCCGTCTCTACTAAAAACACAAAAATTAGCCGGGTGTGATGGTGCGTGCCTGTGATCCCAACTACTCAGGAGGCTGAGGCAGGAAAATTGCTTGAACTCAGGAGGCAGAAGCTGCAGTGAGTCGAGATCACGCCACTGCACTCCAGCTTGGGGGACAGATTCCCTCTCAAAAAAAAAAAATAATAAAAATGACTTTTTCTTAAAGTGATGGTGGCAGAGCAGAAGACGTGACAGCAGAGCATCTGAGCAGCCTTAGCCGGGTGTGGGCGCCGAGAGCAGAGCCTGGTGGGAGGCCCATCTGCGGCAGGCAGCGCACGCCGGCACTGAGCCCGCCTCGGTGCTCACGGGGTTGGTTCCCAGGACTTCAAACAACGGAGGAGTGTAAAGTGTGTACGTCTCAGGGTACATCACGTGCTCCATGAATTGCAGCTCTCACACTGCCACGTGTTCTATGAGCTTTAGGATTTTTAACAGTGTGTCCTATTCCTGTAAGACAGGCAGGCAGGGAGAACCCTGCCCGTGCCCCTGCCTGGCCACTCACCATCAAATAACTGCACACAGGTTATCAGCAGTCCTGGAGAAAAGGTGCCTGGGCACAGACCAGCTCCCATGCTGCTCCCCGCGTGGCCTCGGGCAGGTTAGCTCTTCCACACCTCTGTCAAGTGAGGTGCGTGGGGACAAATTCACACAGCAGGCCCAAGGCGGTGTCCTTACAAGGACTGTGGGCAAGGCGGGCCCTGGACCGCCATCTGGGAACTCGGATTCTGGGAGAGCTCCCAGCACTGCTACTTAAGGGTGGCTCTGTGCCCACAGGGCTTGTGCCAACGACACAGACCATACCAAACTCATTCTCCTTCTGGACAGGCCAGGCGGCATGCCACGGGACCAGCCCTTAGTAAAAGCCCTGGCTGCCGAGTCCCCAGTGGGCTTGTTCTCAGAGTTAAGCAGGTCTGTGTGACTCCAGGGAGTGGGCCCTGGGGCGTCAGCACGTGGCTCCTCAGGGCACCACCCAATCTCCCTTTGGGGATTCTGCTTTGTGCTGTGAGCACCCCCCATGCTGGCCCCTGGGAGACCTCACAGCAGGCCACGTAACCCCGCAAAGAATAATGGTAACTCTTACTTCATAGGATTAGAATGAGGACCACATGAGTGAATGTGGACATGGGCTCAACTTCCAGCAGCCACGTGTGACACGGCTGGTAAATGCCTGTCCACCTTGTCGCTGCGGTAAACAATAATGTGTATAAAAACGTTTTGTAAAGAGTGAAGAGTTACACAAATAAAAGGTGGCATTATTACTTATAATGGCGAGTATTTCTGAGTAAATATCATCATTGCTAACAAATATCTGCTTGCTGAATACAGACACAAGCCAGATTCCAAACATACATTAAATAACAACTGGATACAGGAAACACTTCGTGTTTTTCCCCTTTATGGGGTGAGAGAGATCTTTAAAATATAAAACCTTGAAAATGTAACATTACCACTTTCTATTATCTGTTATGCAGTTCTAAACATTATCTGACAAATTCTTAATGTAATCTGGGGAGAGAGAAAAATAATTTGAGGAGAAAGTATTTAGGAAGTGATAAAACAGACAGAAAATTACTTGTGGTAAGGACCAGTATTGTATTTGACTTTTTTTTTACCCTGGAGCTGAAATACGAGGTGACACTTCTGCTTAATACAATACTGGCAGCTTAAAAATGCTTCAGATAAACTGTATCCCCAGCAGCTGCAAGCATCAGCAGGAAACCCTCTGTCTCTGCGGCTTCGCTGCCCTTCTGCTCAGAGGGTGGCAGGAGTGTAGGGCGCTGCTGATGGCTGATGATGTGGCCACGGCCCGGGCAGAAGGGACAGAAGACGCCGGAGACCCAGGAGGCACACGACTGCCTGGCCTCGAGTCACTAAAAGCAGCTTTATTTCATTCTTGTTTTACTTTTCGAGGATGGCTTTCTCTACCTTCTTAAACTTTTTCAGTTCAACAACGAGTTCCCAGTATTTGAGATACAGCCACATGAGTCTGCCATTCCGGCGTTTGTTGGTATTCCAGACGTCACCACAGTATGTATCATGCTGAAATATGTCGGTGAGACCGGCTCCCATCTCCAGGTCAGCAGCGACAGGGTCGACGGACGCTCGCACCAGTAAGCTCTTCTCCAGCTCCAGCCGCTTGCTGCGAGGAAGAAACAGGCTGCAGTAGATATTCTGTCTTTCTGTGAGGACAGCTTCAAACTCCTTCAGCAGAAGCCCGGCTCTCCTTTGCCAGTTCTCTTCCTTTTGGAGGCAGCTCAAATACGCACTTCTCAAAGGCTGCACCTGTCTTTTTTCTTGCATTACCTGAGCCCGTTCCTCTTCCAGAAGCTTCTTTTCTTCTACCAACTTGCGTCCCTGAGAGATAAGGGCTTCTCGATAACTAGCCGTTCTGTTTTGTTCCTTTTCAAGTTCTAAAGACAGCTGAGCAACGGCACGCCGATTTTCTGAGATCATGGCATGGTACCTGGCTTCCAGATCCCGTTGGAAAGCAGTGGTTCTCTGACGGTATGCTTCTCTCTCTTTTTCTATTTCTTTCTGGGACTCCCTAGACCAAATCCAACCTGACAGGAACGAATTGGAGAAAAATACACATAATGAAAAAGTTAGGGCTGAAGTTCTATAATCTTCACTTAAATCACAAGGCAGCTAAGCCAGCGTTTCAATAAAAGCTTAAGACCTCAGCCATACCATGAAGATCACTTTTATATAAAAATGTGTAACAGGCAAAGTTCTTCTCTTAAAATCAGGTAAGGGCTGGGTGACCAGAAGATCCTACCCCGGCCCTTTCCTTCTAATCTGTTGTTGCTAAGATCTGCCATTGCTTTTTTCTCCTCTCAGACCCTCCACATTTGCCTACTCTGGCTCCTGTACAATTGGCAAAGTTTAACATATTTGGGTTGGCTTCAACTACCACTGGCAAGGTTCTTATGGAAGTCGTATATAGCTTTGCCTGGTGGTCACTAGAAAACGGCCTGAGTGGGAGACACTGCTTATGTTTTGATAAGAGCACAAAAAATAAAGTGGGTTAAGAAGTTGAGCCTCAAGACACGGCGGGCGTCTTTCCTCCAACGGGAGACTGCTGGAATCTCACGAAAACGGGACGGGGATTGCTGGGAGGCTGCAGTGGGCACTGCCCGGCCCTGCCCCACACCGAGGAGCAGCAGGGCTGCCCTGCATGCAGAGAACCCAGTGTCTCTAAGACCTGATGACCCACAAAGCATGCTGGCCAGCAGGTGCCTGGCTCCGGATGCAGCCACCAACTCTTTCCCCATCCCACGAGTGACAGCTGGGTGTGTCTCAACAATCAAAAAATGACAGTGTGACAATACTTCCATCCACATTCCGAACCAATGCTATTGCTCTATAATTTAATGAATGTTGAAGCAACTACATGCTAAGTCTTAGTCTTCCAAAATAATGATGTGTTCTGCTTGTACATTCTAAGAGCAGCACGGATTTGAGTCCCCTGGAAAACAGATTTGTTCGGCAAATTTTCAAAGCCCAAGGCCCCAGAAGCCACTGAAAGCCGCAGTCTGGGTTCTCTCAGGCACATCCACCCTGCACCCCATCCCCCACGCCCCACTCTGTGGAACGCCTTCATCTGCAGCCCCTTCTAGAACCCCTGGAGTGTCCATCAACTGTAATGGTTCTCTCCCTCCTTTTGCTGCTTCCCCCAACTCAGGTGGTGTCCTTGCCATTCAGTTCTTTTTTCCCAGGTCATTAACGACCACTTCTGTGGGAGCAATTCCAGGACAGCAAGACTTCCGTTCGCCTGAAAGCCGGCCTCCCTTGGATACGCTGTTGCCACTTCACTGTGCAAGCACAAGACCAAATTCATCCTTCCTTAGCCAAAAAGAGCTGCTAGTCCTGCTTCAGATGACAACCCAAACTCATGTCATCCTTGTCTTCTCCCACTGACAAGAGCTCACAGGCAGGGGGCCCAACCAGGAAAGAGGCAGTCACAATGTCACTTGATAAGCACTGAGGGGTTTGCACAGGTGAGTGAGGAGACAGAAGGGAAGGCTCATCTGGTTTTGGTGAAGTCCAGGAAGGCTCATAAAGAGGTGAATGAACAAACTCTGGAAGGCTGAGCAGGAGCTGCAAGGAAAAGTCACCTCAAGTCAAACAAGCAGGGCAGGAGAGGGCATCAGAGAGCAAGAGCTTCCAGGCACCGTGTGTTCTGGGGACGTATGTTCTGGGGACGTATGTTCTGGGGATGGGGCTTATGTCAAGGAGAAGCTGGAGCTGGCTCTGGAAACTCTCAGGGGCTAAATGAGAGGAGTCCCCAAGAGATCCAGACAAGGAGCACGGGATGTGCCCTGCAGCCATGAGGAGTCAAAGGAATAACCTGATTTGGGAGCATCCAGCAGGTGTGGAGGACTGGAGGTGGGTCTGGGAGGGGTGGGCAGAACCAAGGGGAGGCAGGGGGCCGCTGCCTGATATAATCTGGGTGCAATCTCAGTCAAGTCACGTCCCTGACACATAAAACAACTAGAAAACTAACACAGACAATGACATACAGTTAAACATCAGACCACACCATACAGGCTGTGCTTACTGGGAAGTTTTTGGCTGGTTGGGGAGCCAGGCCAGGGAAGCTACAGCCAACTTTGCAGAGGAAAGTGTGGCACGACAGGCTGGGTGTCAGGAAAACCTTAATTCCGAGTCTGACCTGACAGACGTCTAGTGATTTTGGGCACAGGCAGCTTTTCAAAGCCTCAGTTTCAGTTGGGACTGCTGCTTCTGGGAAGACGGGGCGGACATCCTCCCCATTCTTCTTGCTAAGTACACTAAAAATCCTGGACATCATCTATAAAATGAGATGACTCTGAAAAGTGGAGAGAAGGCAAATTGGCTTGGGTCCTTGGGACCCCAGGAGCCACATGGGGGCAAGTCCTCCAGGTTTTCATTTTGCCTCATAGATCCCGGACTTGGAGCTGAAGACACAGGCATTGGAGATCTCGACGGTTGCACATAAAAAAGGAAACTCTAACAAAGCCTCCTCTCTCTGCCCAAAGGACCATGACAGGAGCCTGGCAGGAGAGAAAATGTTCCAACAATAATCACTCTACGTCAGCCAAACAACACGGAAAAACTGCGGCCCACCTCCACCCACACGGACAAAGGCGGAGCAGGCGCCGAGGCTCCCACTCCCACACAGCTGCAAACACAGGGTGTGGTCGGGGAAGCCACATGGGGAGCAACAGTGAGGTCTTCCTGGCAGGGGACACCAGTGGAGGCCAGTGGGCTGGAACTCCCAGCCCTTCCTCAGGGGCCCACGGGGGCCAGAGGCTGAGTGGGGAGCCTGGACTTCTAGCCCAACCTGGCAGTAAGGAGGCCGTGTGGCCCTTCCCCTGCCAGGGTGCTGTTCAAGAAAGCCAGCTAAAACCAAAGGTTTAAATAAAAACCAGTGTTTCATCACATAATACCCAAAATGCCCAGGGTCCAATAGAAAATCACTCATAACACCAAGGCCCAGGATGGGTCACGCTAAATGAACAAAAATAACCAACAGATGCCAATAGCCAGGTGAGAGATGGCAGTATTATCCAACAAGGGTTTTAGGGCAGCCGCCATGACAGAAAATAAACAGAGGACGGCCAGGTGCAGTGGCGCACACCTGTAATCCCAGAACCTTGGAAAGCCGTGGCAGGCAGATCATGAGGTCAAGAGATACAGACTATCCTGGCCAATATGGTGAAACCTCGTCTCTATAAAAAATACAAATATTATCTGGGCGTGGTGGTGCATGCCTGTAGTCCCAGCTATTCTGGAGGCTGAGGCAGAAGAATCACTTGAACCCAGGAGGCAGAGGTTGCAGTGAACAGAGATTGAGCCACTGCACTCCAGCCTGGCGACACAGTGAGACGCCATCTCTAAATAATTAATTAATTAATTAATTAATTAAATAGAAGACATAAGGAAGAACCAAATGAAAATTCTAGAACTGAAAAACGTAACAACTGGAAGAAAAACCAGAATGACAGAACAGACATGGAGAAGAGCAGCGGGCCCCAGGCAGAGGCTCGGGACGTCCCTCACCAGCACAGAGACAAGATCCTTCACAGTCTCACCACAGACATCATTCTACAGTCCATGAAAGTAACTCTACAGCATGACCATGTGAGGATTGCTCCAGAGACAAAAGCCTGGTTCAATATTCAAAAATCAATGTAATCTAACACATTACTAAGCTGATGAAGAAAAAATCACATGATCGCATCAATTAAAACAAAAAAAATGGATCAAATTCAACATCTATTCATGAAAAACAGAAATACAGGGAGCTTCCCTGACTTGATAAAGTGCATCTATGGAAAACCTGCAGCTGACGCTGTACTTAGCTGGGAGAGGCCAAGTGTGTTCTCTCTCAGGTCAGGGACCGTCCAACAGAGTCCCAGAAGCTCCAGCCAGTGCTGGACGGCAAGACAAAGAAACCAAAGCAAACAGGTTAGAAAGACGAAATACAACTAAAGTCTTATCCCTTATAATAAAATTAACTCAAATGGGAAGGGCTTAAATGTAAAACTAAAACTTTAGGGGAAAAAGCCTTCAGGATCTAGGGCTAGCAGAGTTCTCAGACTTCCATGAAAAGCATGGTTCATAAAAGGAAATGATAAGCTGCATTACAGCTGACACTGCAAACGCCCCTATGAAGGGAATGAAAAGACGGGCCACAGACTGGGAGGGGATGCTTGCAAGCCACATACCCAACTAAGCACCAGCATCTCAGACATGTTAACCACTCTCAAAACTCAATGTTGAAAAACAAGCAGTCCTATTAGAAAATGGCTGAAAGGCCGGGCGCGGTGGCTCAAGCCTGTAATCCCAGCACTTTGGGAGGCCGAGGCGGGTGGATCACGAGGTCAAGAGATCGAGACCATCCTGGTCAACATGGTGAAACCCCGTCTCTACTAAAAATACAAAAAAAAATTAGCTGGGCATGGTGGTGCATGCCTGTAATCCCAGCTACTCAGGAGGCTGAGGCAGGAGAATTGCCTGAACCCAGGAGGCGGAGGTTGCGGTGAGCCAAGATCGCGCCATTGCACTCCAGCCTGGGTAACAAGAGTGAAACTCCGTCTCAAAAAAAAAAAAAAAAAAAAAAAAAAAAAAAAAAAAAAAAAAAAAAAAGAAAATGGCTGAAAGATAAAAACACTCATTTCATCAGGATACGATGACGGCAGTAAGCACGTGAAGAGATGCGACATAGCTCACTAGAGCCACGATGAGAAGATGCTCAACACCGTACAGTAGAGCCACGAACAGAGGCGGCACCACACTCCCATTGGGACGGGCGGGACAGGACAGCAAAGAAACACCAAATGCTGACCAGGAGGTGGAGAAACTGATCCACTCATGTGTTGCTGGTGAGAACCTAAAACAGTGCAGCCACTTGGGAAAATATTTGGCCCTTTCTTAAAAAACTAAACGTGCAACTACCATAAAACCCAGTAATTGCACTTCTGGCCATTTATCCCAGAGAAATGAAAACTCGACATCTACACAAAAACCTGCACAATGATGTTTATGACAGCTTTATTCATAATAGCTGAGAACTGGAAATCACCCAGATGTTTTTCAGTGGTGAAACACACTGTGATACGTCCATGTCATCAAACATGACTCAGCAATGAAAATGCCGATGAACTACTGATACAGCAACAATCTGCATGGATCTCGGGGGATTATGCTGAGTGAAAAAAGCCAAGCCAAAAGGTTACATACCATTTGAGTACATTTATATAACACTCTTGAAATGACAGAAGTCTGGACATGAGGAACAGATTAGCGGCTGCTGGGAGTTGTGGAGGAAGGTGGGGTTCCCAAGGGCGGCATGAGGGTCCCCAGGACTGCTGCACCTTGACTGACTCCTGGCGGATGTCTTGGCTGTTACACTGCACTGTTGTTTTGCAGATGTTTCCACTGGGGAAAGCTGGGTAGAGGGTACATGGGCTCTCGGTATTACTGATCATAACTCCATGTGATTTACAATGACCCCAAAATACAATGTTTAATTAAAAGAAACTGAGTTGGACCCAGTGATCTGAACCAGTCCCTTTCAGCTCTAAGACGATGTTCTCTAGGTCAGGGGAGGAAAGAGGAGGTATAGGAACGCTAGAGGGAGAAAGCCTGGAGAGAGGAGATGGGGAAGGGGAATCAGGAAGACCGAGAGAAAAGTGGGGAAAGCAGAATGGCAGAGGGGTGTGAAGAGAGAGAAGCCCACTGGAGCGCTGAGATACTGAATATTCTCCCCAGGGAGCTACTCACGGTAAGAATTTCTCCACGGACTGCTCTTGCCTGAAAGCACAATTACAGGCAAGCACAATTATACACACGTCTACGTTATGTTCAGTAAAAACAAGCAAATGAAGTAGGTGATCAGGACAAAACTAGCCTCTCATCAATAAATCATTCAACAGTGTGTATCAAGTATTCATCTATCTTCCTCTTCTGGACTACACTGGGGCCGGTCAATGCTCCTGCGTGAAACAGAACCTCAAACACATCACAACACACCTTTGGAGAATCCTCCTAAGAAAGCCAAGTTAACAGTTACCTCTGACCACATGACCTCAGCAAAAAACCAAGAAGAAAAAATAAAATATTTTTCAACCCTTTTCAGGGACAAAAAGCATCATTTCAAAAGTCCGAGAAGGGAAGGCAAGAATTATTTCAAAAGTGAAAGTTATCATGAAAGGCTATAAAAGCTGGAGAGAGTCTGAAAAACAATTGGAAAATGAGTCACTGAAATTCAGGGCCTCTCCCAGCCTCAAAGCCAATTAATTATTACATTAGTAAGAGCAGTTTTAAGCCTTCCAACCCACTCACCCTAGCCACAGGCAACAGCAGCCTCTCCAAGTGCTAAGTGCTTTTTTTCCAAGCCTGCAGGCGGGTGAGCTTTTTAGGTGGCAGCCCCTTAGGGCTGTACGTGGACCAGCCTTGTCGTTCACCACGAAGCGGGCACTGTGCAGATCACTGAATCAAAAACCACCTGCTCTTACCAGCCTCCACTTGCTCTACAGCAAAACTTTTGACCTGCCACATCAAAGCAGATAAAAGGCCACTACAGAAAACACACCACTACAGCTAGACGACAGGTTTGCCTTTCTCCCATTCAATTATTCAGTTTCTCACACTCCTAAGCGCCAGCCCAGAACCAGGGAATGAGAAGAAGCACAAACTCACTCCTCTACATCAGTGTACTGACTGTGTGCTGGGGATATGATAAGTCTGCATGTGACTGGTAGGTCCCCAAAGTGACACCAAGTCAATCCAAACTAGAGAGAATTTCTGGCCAGGCGGAGCAGAGATTTCACAGATGAAGACTTCCAAGATGGATTTCCTGAACATTGAACATCACTGGTTTTCCAAAACTGGTATTGTTTGGTTTTTTAACCCTGTTGCCCAAGCTGGAGGGCAAGTGGTACGATCTTCACTCACTGCAGCCTCCACCCCAGCCTCAGCTGATCTTCCCACCTCAGCCTCCTGAGTAGCTGACACTACAGTTGTGTGCCGCTAATTTTTTTTTTTTTTTTTTTGGTAGAGAAGGGGTTTTGCTATGTTGCTCGGGCTGGTCATGTGATCTGCCCACCTGGGCCTCACAGAGTACTGGTATTACAGGTGTGAGCCACCATGCCCAGCCCACTGGTTTCCTTTACGTCCGTTTCTTCCCCCACATCAGTCCTTATGAGGGCACCTGAAACAAGAGACCCCCCCCCACCCCTCACCCTTCCCCTTCAGAGTAGCAAAGCCTTGAGAAGGAACTAACAGTTATTAAAATCCACCTCACACAAAATACTTCTAAACCCATTGGCTTACTTAATCCCTGCAATGTGCTGAGGTTAAGTATGATTATCCATCTCCCATGAACAGGAAAACTGAGGCTCAGAGTTAAGTAATTTGCCCACAGTTCACTGCATGGGATAAAACTCGGCTGTCCCTGGAAGGTCCCAAAGTCACGGCCTTCAGGCTCCCACACCATGCTGCCTCCCTCACCAGGCTCCACACTCTCAGCCTGGAAAACATGAATTTTAAGAAAACCATGACTTACGAAAGGCAGCCAATCCCAGCATTGGAACCAATAGGGCATAATTCCATCTGCTTCCATCACCACCATCCGCCCTGGAATTAGGCCGGATATTCCAATTTGGGGGATCATTTAGGTTATTCATGGAGATATACCTTGAAGTAAAGGATAAGAACGTTAACTACTTTTATTCAAGAAAATTTTTTCAGTTTTAACTATGTGCTGCACAGCACTGAGCCCTACGGGATTCAAAGAAAAAAAACACAAGACCTTAGATGTAGGCGACTCACAACCTGGTTGGGGTAAGTGGAGAAAGCAGACATGCCTTAGCCATCTGAAATGCAGGCAGAATGAGGTACATGCTCTGCTACAGATACGTTTAAATGTATGGCTGCTGTGATGGTTAATTTTGTGTGTCAACTTGACTGTGCCACGGGGTGCCCAGATACGTGGTTTAGCATTATTTCTGAGTGTGTCTGCAAGGGTGTTTCTGGATCAGATTAGCATTCAAACCCTTAAACCAATTCCTTACATCTCTCCCCTCTACTGGTTGTCTCTCTGGAGAACCCTAATACAGTTGTATGAAAGATACAGAATCAACTCATTAAAAGTAGGCTCACACTGACACTTTCACATGAGCTAGCGTTTGAAGAGTGAGCAGCATTTTAACAGGCAGAGATAGAAGGAAAGGTCTTCTGATAGAAGGAAGACTGTGAGGAAGGCAGGCAGGGGCCATGTGGTGGGGAAGGTGCAAACAGGGCTAGAAGCTGCTCAGGCCTCCTCCTGTGGTGGTGGTAAGCGCAGAGATTACAGAGCTGCCTGCTTCAGGCTCAGCATGCACCCTCTATAGCTAGGCTAGGTTAATATGAATTTACAATTTACTGAGTACCTACACGAGGTTGCACATTTTCAGAAAGTAGTCACTTTGTTTACATGTGACCTCCACAAATACACACGAGGCTGCACATTTTCACAAAGGAGTCACTTTGTTTACATGTGACCTCCACAAATACACACGATTACAAAATACTTAATCAAGCGATGTATAAGAAACAAGAAATCCATTCCAATTTCTGAAAACTTTTCATCGGATTTTCAACAAATACTTGTTTAACACCTAAAGACAGAAAATTATAATACACAATGAAGATATGACAAAAATATGTCTTGGAGCTTAATACTAAGCGATTGTGGTAATTACAGAATCAAAAAATTAAGGCTGGCACAGTGGCTCTCACCTGTAATTCCAGCACTTTGGGAGGCCAAGGCAGGTGGATCACCTGAGGTCAGGAGTTTGAAACCATCCTGGCCAATATGGTAAAACCCCATCTCTACTAAAAATACTAAAATTAGCTGGGCATGTTGGCGGGTGCCTGTAGTTCCAGCTACTTGGGAGGCTGAGGCAGGAGAATCTGTTGAACCCTGGAGGCAGAGGTTGTAGTAAGCCGAGATCATGCCACTGCACTCCAGCCTTGCAACAAGAGCTAAACTCCATCCCAAACAAAACAACAGATAACTAACCTAGGACCAAAATTGCATAACTTTCAAAAAAATGTCTAGGAGGCATTATGTTTATTCCCTGTAGCCAATAAAGGCCACATCTGGGGCATGCATCTAAGGAAATAATCCTAAAGATAAAGACATGTTCTTTATGGTGTTATTTATTAGTAGCAAAAATGGGAAACCCAAATATCAACAAAATGGGACTGGATCATTGCAAATGTACTAAAATAATTCAAAATAGTTAAAAAAAAACATTATGTACAATAGGAAGATTTTAATAATTTAAAGTGAAAAGGCAGGAAACATAATTACTAATGATTATTGGTTTATCTTTCATGCCACTTCATTCCACAAAAAGATCTCAGGTATCTTACAAAACGACACGCTAGAAAAATTAAAACACGATCTGAACCCGAAGCAAAGTCAGGGTTGGCTGGCAGAAGGTCGTACCAGCCAAAGGAGGGGTCTGCGCAGCTTTCACAGCGGACCCAGGCCGTGCGCGGTGGCTCCGCCCGCAATCCCCGCGCTCTGGGAGGCAGAGGAGGGAGGATCGCTCGAGGCCAAGAGTTCGAGACCGGGCAACAAAGCAAGATCCCGCCTCTACAAAAAATTTAAAAATTAGCCGGAAGCCAGGGGCTGGGGACATGAGCGAGGGAGGCTCCCACCCCTCCGAGGCCGGAGACCGAGGGTCACTCCCGCTCACTAGAGGCCGGAGGCCCGGGGCCGCTCCCGCCCGACTCCGCGGACAAGCGCCGCCCTCCGACCCCATTCCCTGCGGTCCGGACGTTCAGGCCCTCTCGGTCTGCGCGATCCCGGAGAACCACCCACGGGGCTTTAAAAATGTTGGCGCCCGACGCCTCCCCAGAACACGGCCGGCCCTACCTCAGTCGGAGAAAGCGGGACCTCGGTGTCGCCCCCAGCGCCACCGTCCGCGGGTCCGCTTTGCGCAGGCGCGGCGCCCCCACTCAGCCCCCGCCCAGGGCGTGGCGTGGTGCGCAGGCGCGACGTCCCCCGCTGCCGCCCCGCTCGACCCCGGCGTAGTGCGCAGGCGCGGTATCCCCCCTACCCCGCTCGACCCCCGTGTGGTGCGCAGGCGCGGTATCCCCCCCACATCCTCCCCCCCGCTCGACCCGGGTGTGGTGCGCAGGCGCAGTCTGCGCGGGGACTGGCGGGACAGCGCGGCGACGACTGACATGTCGGGGGTCCGGAGGCTGTCGCGGCTGCTGAGCGCCCGGCGCCTGGCGCTGGCCAAGGCAGTGAGTCCGTGCCGCGGACCGGGGAGGGGCAGGCGGGGGCCGGGGCAGCAGTAGGAGCGGGCGGGTCCCCAGCGGGTCCGAGCGGATCGAGCGCCGGGTCCCCGCGCCCCCTGCCCGGGGATCCGGAAAGGGCTGAGAGAGCCCTGGGCCGGTGCGAGGGGGAGCAGCGGGGCGGACCCGGGGTCCGGGGGTCATTCCTTAGCAGGTCGTGCGCATCCCGGTGAAGGTCACGACCCCACGGGCTGCTCGGCCCGGGGGTCCCTTCCGCGCACTGGTCCGGGCCTGGGGCCCGGGGACCCCGCGGGCTGAGGTAGCCCCCCGCCTCCGTGCCTGGCGCGTGGACTCGGGGAGGAGTGGTGTCTGCCCAAGGTGACCCGGGCGGATAGCGGCCGCTGGCCGCCCTGGCTGCGCCGGGCCTCTGCCGCCGGTTGTGCGGGTTGTCCCGCGGGTGGGGCCGCCGGCGTCGGTGCGGGGGCCGGGCTCGACCGGGCCGGGCGTCGGGCGGGAAGCGCCGCGCGCCGGGGCCTGGGCCTGCGGTTCCCCTTCCCCGAAAGCGCAAATCTGTGCATGTCCACGTCGAGCCCTTGTAAGTGAAGGGCCTCTGCTTTGGCGGCGGTGTTTGGCGGCCCTTGTGCGCAGTTTTTAAAAATCAGACGGAGACCTCCGCGCACTGACCGGGCCGGGACGCCAGGACCCGTGCCTTCCCGTGCGTTGTGAGTGCCGCGGGGGCCGGGCTCGGCTCGGTCCAGGATGATGGGCAGGGTTATACTTCCCGGAGCCCTTGCTGTCTGAGTTTGTCTGAATGTGCCCTCTACGATTGCATCTTCAGAATCGGCCTTCTAGGGTTTTATTTAATCAAGCTAAATTTGATTGGTTTAGTTATTTGGTTCTTTGAAATGAACTTACCCACCCACTTCCTTAATTACGAAGTAATTTTAAATTGCAGAGTAAAAATCTCAGTAGGAACGAAGGCATTCAGGAATATTGATTTGAATTATGCCTGTAATTGTGCAATTTTCTGGTTGAATTAAATGTGAGAATTGGTCATGCAGCCACCCCGTCTGCATCATGCAAATGTAAACGTTTTAGTGTGTTGCTGTGGTTGGTGCTGACTGAGCAGAGACCCCCGCTGCAAGTTGGGCGCTTAAGAGCTGCCAGGAGGCGTCCACAAGCAGGAAGTAAAGTCCATGGTCGGTGATGGTCGCTTGCGACTGGAGAAGCTGGGGCTGGTAGTACCTTTGTCCTCATCCCAGGTGGTGCCCCGTGCTGCTTCTGCAGACCAAGACCCCGCCAGCCGTGGAGTCGCTTCAGACAAAATGGCAAGATAGCAAAATTAAACCAAGTTAGGCCTACCAAATATGGTCTTGGGTTTTTTAACTATTTTTATCTTGATGAAGTCAGCTTTTCCTGCAGAAATTCTGCCTGCAAGCAATGTATTTATTGGCATTTCAGATAGGCTTTTTTTCTTGAAGAATTGGAGTTTACAAAGGAACAACATAAATTAGCGGGAAAAACAAAGAAATTTATGATAGCCGACTGAGAAATGTGTTTGGAAAATAGATAATTTCGGTAAAGTCCAGAGAGAATTTTTTAATCTCATTTCGGCCAGTTCTCTGGTGTTTTGAAGTCGTTCTGTATTTACAGCTGCTTTCAAGTGACGAACTTCTCAGACTTATTTTGCCTTTAGTGTCTTTTTATGGCGGAGGGCACTGACACAGCTTACAAACTGTTCGAAAGCAGCTTAATCCAGAGGAAAAGTAAAACCAAGAAACTTAAATAGTTACTGGGTTAACTGCTTGCTTCAGGTGAAGTTTTTCAAATCCCTTAACATGAATATCCAATATATTGTTCTAGAACAAATTGATTTCTTTTCTTTGAATGGATTGTTCTGAATATGTTTAATGGTGCTCTAGAAATACACTATTTAAGCCATTATAGTAATAAACTTTCAGGCCAGGCGCGGTGGCTCAAGCCTGTAATCCCAGCATGGTGGGAGGCCAAGGCGGGTGGATCACGAGGTCAAGAGATCGAGACCATCCTGGTCAACGTGGTGAAACCCCGTCTCTACTAAAACTACAAAAAATTAGCTGGGCATGGTGGCGCGTGCCTGTAATCCCAGCTACTCAGGAGGCTGAGGCAGGAGAATT